TGGTTTACTATTGAAACCAGGAGTGAAGTGCCTGTTTTATTTGATAAGAACAGCTGCATTGATAGATAAAGAGACAGTCCTCAGAGTACTACTTCTCGTACCTGACATTGATTTGAGTCACGATATATTAATATTAAAGCTTACAAATTTACGGAACGGATGTTGTTTGAACTTGATGCTAACAAAATGTGGAGTACTTACTGACTTTCTGTGGTTACTTTCAAAATTCTATGTTGTTAGTCTTCCTAAATGCAATCATTGTTAACATGATATTAAGTCTTTCACAGCACAATTCTTTGGCTGTTCATTTATTTTATTCTTAAACAGCGCAGTAGCCATCACAGAAAATATGTTTATAAGCAAAACATGCCTTCTATTGGTGCTTAGGAGCCATTTCTTTGTCAGAATAAGACATGATTGACAAAGAGACTTGAAAGCCTTCCCTTCACAGTGTATCTGAGTAGTCTGGTGGTGGAGGTCTTGCTCTTGCTCCGGATCCAGAGATTGATGGACAAAACCCTGCTCACAGCATGTTAACGAAAAGGGGGGCAAACTTAACACATTGTGTACAGCACATCATTGAGTCTCTTAGCTGATGGAGCCGCACATTGCACCGACAGCGGTAGCAATGGTAAATTAAAGCTGCAAGCAGCGTTGGGCGGGCCCTCGCACTTGTAGCGCGTCCGCGTGTGAGCCGGCCGAGTCGCATATTCTGGAGCTCTGCCGGTGCGGCTGTGAATTTCCTACGCGGTTCCGACGCCGCATGAATGTGCTATATGTCACTTCCTGTGTCCCCTACGTGGAGCTACATAGCACTTGCCGCTATGAATATAAATCGGTATTGACGTGTAGATGTCTGCGGGGTGGGAGAGTTATCAAGCACGTAAAGTTTGTTTCAGATGTGAACATGTACACTGAACAATAATGTACCCAAACAATAAAATAAATTCCTTTTATATTTCCCTGCCTTGTTGTTTATGTGTACATACAGAGGAAGAATGTGAGAACAGCACACATTTCATCGTTACTGTGTGTTAGAGCATGGGAGAACAGTGGATACTTTTAATACAGCCCACACCCCTAATACTGTGTAACTATAACAAGTAGAGAACAGAAGAAAAAGATGTTCTTTCTTTACAACTGTCTGCATAGCTTATTCATATTGTGTAATGAATGAAAATAAATAGGCCTACTAGGCTCCTCTCTACTTTGACATTTAAGATTAGCTTGTTTGATCCACCTTCATACACATGTGACATTACTGTACAACTTGAGAAAGGTGAGTTGTTTTCTGCTCCAGCCTGCCTAAAAGAAAAGCGTTTTGGGGATTAAATGGACTTTATTAGCTGCTGCAGTGCAGGATGAACTCAGAATAGACCCATTTCTCACCTTATTATTCTAAATCATGCAACGAAGAAGAAGAAATGCATAAGAAATCCTGGGACAAAATCTGTCCACAAATACTGTACAGCATGTAGTCTGATGATCAAGACTTGTGTTATAGCTGACTTGGGCAGTGAAATGTTTAATTTTTTTAATTCATGTGGTCATAGTTGTCCACAACTCAAATCAGAATATAAGAAGAAATGTTTTATACCACCTCAAGAAGGCTTCCTATCAGAAAGGTAGGAAGGTATTTCAAATGTACAACTGCAGTACTTAAATCTAAGTAAAATAATTTCCCTGACATTTTTGTGTTACTTTACTTTTAATAGACGCATGTAACAGGTTTTATACTTCCTGTGAGTATAATCCAATCAATCTTATTTTCATACTGTATATCCGTTGTGTAATTTGATAAATTGTGTTGTATGTCGTGCTCGCATCTCAGAGAAGACTCTGACTGCAACATGCGTCTTTGTAAAGAGAGAAACAGACAGAAAAAGTCTCTAACTCTGCCTGTCAGCTCGCTCTGCTCCGTTAAAACTGAATTTACCATACAGAATTGAATACGAGTGCACTCCAGATTTAGCTGCAGCCAGCTGACCGTGTGCTTCTCCCTATACCGCAGTTCTGTGTCCATGCATGCAGCAAACTGAAAGCACTGTCTGACTTGATCTCTGACGCCACGCCACGGACACACCCATTGACGAAAACTCGCAAATAGCACAACTTTTCATCTTCAATGCCTTTAGAAGGCACAGCACAAATTTGAAGTCGGTCGGACTAAATCCCTAGGAGGAGTTCGTTAAAGTACGAAGTGTGTAAATCATCCAAAATTTTACGTAAAATTCAAAATGGCCGACTTCCTGTTGGGTTTAGGCTATGGCTCCAAGAGACTTTTTTGTGCGTCTGGACAAGATACACGTACCACAGAAAATTCGTGCACGTAGGTGAAACGTGCGGCGGGGGCTGCTTCGTTAAAAGTCACTTCCTGTTGCCAGCAGGTGGCGCTATGACTGTGGGTGAATGTCAGCATGTACATGTGTTCAGGGCGGGACTCTCATCCTACATGTACAGTTTGGTGCAGATGTGAGCATGTACACTGAAGTTACGACAACTTCCGTGTCATGGCGAAGAGTTGATCTTTGACGCCACGCTACGGACACGCCCATTGACGAAAACTTGCAAATAGCACAACTTTTCATCTTCAATGCCTTTAGAAGGCACAGCAGAAATTTGAGGTCGGTCGGACTAAATCCCCAGGAGGAGTTCGTTAAAGTACGAAGTGTGTAAATCATCCAAAATTTTACGTAAAATTCAAAATGGCCGACTTCCTGTTGGGTTTAGGCTATGGCTCCAAGAGACTTTTTTGTGCGTCTGGACAAGATACACGTACCACAGAAAATTCGTGCACGTAGGTGAAACGTGCGGCGGGGGCTGCTTCGTTAAAAGTCACTTCCTGTTGCCAGCAGGTGGCGCTATGACTGTGGGTGAATATCAGCATGAACATGTGTTCAGGGCAGGACTCTCATCCTACATGTACAGTTTGGTCCAGATGTGAGCATGTACACTGAAGCTACGACAACTTCCGTGTCATGGCGAAGAGTTGATCTTTGACGCCACGCCACGGACACGCCCATTGACGAAAACTTGCAAATAGCACAACTTTTCATCTTCAATGCCTTTAGAAGGCACAGCACAAATTTGAGGTCGGTCGGACTAAATCCCTAGGAGGAGTTCATTAAAGTACGAAGTGTGTAAATCATCCAAAATTTGACGTAAAATTCAAAATGGCCGACTTCCTGTTGGGTTTAGGCTATGGCTCCAAGAGACTTTTTTGTGCGTCTGGACAAGATACACGTACCACAGAAAATTCGTGCACGTAGGTGAAACGAGGGGCATGTACATGTGTTCAGGGCGGGACTCTCATCCTAGATGTACAGTTTGGTCCAGATGTGAGCATGTACACTGAAGTTACAACAACTTCCTGTTTCATGGCGAATCATCGACGCCACGGACACGCCCATTGACGAAAACGCGCAAATAGCACAACTTTTCATCGTCAATGCCTTTAGAAGGCACAGCAGAAATTTGACGTCGATCCGAGTAAATCCCTAGGAGGAGTTCGTTAAAGTACGAAGTGTGTAAATCATCCAAAAATGGCCATAAAATTCAAAATGGCCGACTTCCTGTTGACTTTAGGCTATGGGTTCTTGAGGCTTTTTTGTGCGTCTTGACATGATACATGTCCCCAGAAAATTTCGTACATGTAGGTTGAACGTGAACGAGGGGCTAATTTTTTCCAATTTTCTAGGTGGCGCTAGCGAGTCATTTTGCAACGCCCATGTGCGAAACTTGTAGAATACGAAATTTTTCACCGGTTCTGACATGTTTGCAAATTTTGGTGAGTTTTCGAGTATGTTTAGGCCATGTCATTTGGGCCTACTTTGCAGAAAAAATAAAAAAAAAAAAATAAAAAAAAAAAAAAAAAAAAATAATAATAATCCGAGCAAATTCAATAGGGACCTCGCACGGTCGTGCTCGGGCCCTAAAAATAGCTGCCAGCTCTCACGCATTTTCTTAAGGAAATGCCCATTCTAGTTGTCTCTTGTTTCCCAAACTGCTGGAAAAGTGAAGTCCGTTAGCGCTAGCAAACGTTTCCCCTCATCTTCAGACTGCGCAGCTGAACAGGCTGCTCACTTCACATTAGCTACATTTATAGGAAGTAACTATCTTAGTAGCTGCATTTCATTACTGCCTGCTTGTCCAGTGCTGAGTACAAGCTAAGACTAAACTGGTGTAGCCTACACCTCTGTCCTGTCCACAGACTGTACATCCTCAACACCGTGGAGGAGCTGAGGTTACAAGCTCAGGTGAGCAAGTTACGGATGCAAACTAGTCTGTTTTAAGCTAATGAGGAGATGTTCCTTTTGGTTTTATTGTGCAAATGAAATGCTTGGTTCCGTCAACTTCAGGCTGCATTTCCTACAAGGAGCATTTCAGAATCAGAGCTTGTTTATTGTTGTTTTACGATCGGGAGTCTCCACGGAGTGTTGACCGGATTCTCTCTGCCGTTCTGTGTCTGACTTCCTGCCTGGTTCGATCTGCTCTGTGCTGCTTGACGCAGCTAGCGGCAAAAATAGACCTGCTACCTATTCTCTGCAGAGCGGAGCGCCGTTTCCGGGACACGCTGCGGCCGCAGCTGGTGGACTCATGAGCATTGACTATAATGGCCGCTATTAGCTCCGGGAACCGCGACGCAGCCGTAACGCGCCGTAGCCGGAGTCAGTGGACTTTAGGGGTAAGGATGGCACATTGAAGAGAAAACATCTGCAGATACAATAAAATCTATGCTGCATAGCAATCACTCTTTAGGTCTACCTCATGTGTACACGCTTAGTGTTGATCTCCTTGCTCTGTCAAGTTCTGGCCTCCCTCCTACAGCACCACTATTGTTACAAGCAGGGACACCAAGAGCTGAATTTTCATACACAGCCCACTGACAGATGTACTGATAAATGACTAAAGTTCTATCATTTTAATGATATATGATGTTAAAGAAGGGGATTGATAATTCAGAATTTACTGCAGGCTGATGAAAAGATGAATGAACTCACCCGCTGCAGAGTGACTGTGTACTGCTCCCAGACCATCTCTTCCATTCCTGAGCTCTGTAGAGAACACAGACACAACACTGACTGTCAGCACCAGCTCCAGAAGTCATTCAGCAGCACAAATAAGAATAAAAACCACAGATTCGTGGAGGGGTAACCCCGTATAGTGGAAGATTCAATGATTTGATATTCTCACAAGCCAATCTTCACAAAGCCAGCGTGAAACGCGTGAATAAATCCTTTAAGGTCAGTGCACATGTGTGGCGTAGTGAGTGAGTGAGTGAGTGTGTGTGCGTGCATGCGTGCAGTAGAAGAGGGAGACACCAAACAGCAACGCCGGCGATTTGCAGAGTTGTGCGTGAACTTTGAGGGACATTTGAATCATTTATCACCATTGATGAACCACACAAAGAAGATTCTTTGGTTTTTAAACAGTACTTATACTAGACCAACAAGGAAACGCAACATGCAAATGTTGGCGAGACTTTGGACATGCACAACTCTGAACAAGACCTGTGATTGGCAGGCGAGCAGAGCAGAGAGAAAAGGATCAACAATAAGCCTCTGTTTAGCTGTACAGGGAAAGATCCAGTTACTCTGCAGCTCCTCAAGAATACAGACAGATTCACAAATCTGAGGCAGACCATTCAAAACAATTATGATAAAATCTTTAAAAATGTTTCATTTCCTTACTCCCTATTTATAAAGATTAAACATGACACTTTAGTCTTGTTATTCGATAAGATATGCTTAAAGACACTTCAACAAGTTTTGTGTCAGAGTTTTTGTTATTCTAAATTTTGACACCGTGATCAGTTCCAAATATCATGCGTCATCGGTCTCATTGGTTACTAATAATCAGTACCGCTCCATATCGGTCGATCCTCAAGACCTGTGCAGTGTCTACACACACACACTCCCTGGATATTTAAAAGGTTGAGAGTATTTCAACTAGAGAGCGCTGAGTTTCAGAAACAGCCTTAAAAGGCAACCCCATGTATTCCACCAGGTTACAGACCTTCATGTCTTTTACATGAAGAAATCAAAATGAACGCATTCAATTCAAGTGAGTTCACTATGAGAGCAGCAGACACACTCTGCCCTCTACCATCCATCCATGTCCCACCAATCTGAGCAGACAGGAGATCCCAGCAGGTGCGTAGAGGACCACCAGGCTGCCTCTCTGCTGTTTAATGTCCAGCTCCCTCAGCTGGATCCTGGCGCCCCCACCATCGCTGCTGTCTCCCCCCTCCCTGCAGCCATCCGGGGCCCCACTCTTGGCCATGTCGGCCTGCCTGCACTGGTGTCCGCTGGGGTAGCTGGTGCAGCAGCCAGTCGGCAGCCACTCCAGACTCATGGCTCGGTGTCCCACCTCCAATCTGGATAAGCCTGTGCAGCGGCGGATTAGCCTAGCCCCGGGAGGGAGGAGAGACTAAAAATAACAGCAGACTCCTCCCACCTGCTTCTGCTCCCATCCAACGGACTGCTCTGAGCACTTCCTGCGCAGGCCAGATGCCATGGCCAGGTAGAGGCGGCGTCCGCAAGTTCAAAGGTCGACAGGCTGGAGAGCTCCTTCCTCTGTCTGTTCCTCTGCACACCGTCCTGCTGCTTTCCCTTCACTCCCTTAACAATCACAGCCAACATTTAGGTACTATTATTTCCTGATCCACCATCTGGCTTTATTCAAGCATTGTATTTTTCCTCTTCAGTTTGCTTTTAAAAACCAAATAAGAAAAAAAAGATTGGATATGCATTCCAGACAATAAGTCTTTAGAATAAGGACACACCCAACTAATCCTGTACAAGAGCTGTACACCTCACAAGCCGTTGGCCTGTGGAGAGTGAATACCATGTCAAAGAGCTACGGGGATAGATGAGTAGTTGGACTGACAGGCCCAGAGAGACGTGGAGCCTGGAAGGTGGGCACCAACATTAATATTAACAGTTTTCAAAGTTCAAATATTAAGCTCCTCTAAACTATATTTTTTAGAGCCCGACCGACAAGGGATTCTTAAGCGCGATATGAATTGGATATTTGAGGATTGATATGCCGATATATCGGCCAATATTATTATTTCTCCTTATTTTAAGAAACGCATGACATAAAGAAAGATTATGCCTAACATTGGTTATGTTGAGTGTTGATTAAAGTGTCAAATGTATAAAACTACAGAACACATTTTAAAACATCTTATTTCTTAACTAAACTACAGTCAATAAAGTATGTATTATGGGGCCAGTGAAACAGAAACTATAAAAAAAAACTATATATAACTATTACTACTACTCCTAATAATAATAACAGTGATTACTAGTTCACCTTTAGAAGAGAGAGATCTGATGTTTAAGAGTCCACATTTAACTCTCCTATTTGTTTGCACTATTGCTCTTGTGGTTTTAATTTTTATGAGGTTTTTATGCACAGCTCCTCTTCTGTTTACCTTTTTAAATAATTTCGACGGTCGGGGGCAGACACCGTCACTATAGGATTTTCACTAAGTAACTCCTGAAATGGAGGAGCAGAGAAGTGTGTTAGACTGCGACTCTGCGTAGGGTTTTGGGTGGGTAACTGCTGAAAAAGAAGGGCAGAGAAGTGTGTTAAACTGCGACTCTGCCTCCTGGTCTCAACTCTGGGTTGTCATGGATTTGGTCCACTAATAAACTTGGCCAGATTTCTAGAAATGAGAGCTGCTCCTTCCCAAGTGGGATGGATGCCGTCTCTCCGGATCAGACCAGGTCTTCCCCAGAAAGTCTGCCAATGATCAACAAAGCCCACATCGTTTGCTGGACACCACCTCGACAACCAACGGCGGAATGAATTTTAAGTGACTACTAACAGAAAGAAAGACAACAAGGAAACCCGCTGCTGTATTACTGCTGCCTTGACAAAGTGCTTACATATATATGTAAGACTACAGTGTGTTAGTCAGCACAGAAGCTGGACAGCACTGGTACAGCAGGACTCACCAGTCTCTTATTTACATACGGCATACATACGGTGTGGTGACTCCTATTCAACCAGGGTCACACGGCATACCGAATGGAACACAGCCACAAATCTGCTGTGTCTACAGTTTCACCACAAGCACGGGCACAGACCAAGTCAACTTATATATACACACTTTAACCATCCAAAACAGCAGATCTTGGAAGGAAATGCCATTTGTGAGGCTGATAGTTGTGTTCACAAGCACCATCCGTTTCTGTATGTATAATGATGCAGTATTATCAGCAGTTATGAATGCAGCAGTCATTGTACTGTGTTTATATTCAATCATTGAGCTGACGCTTTTATCCAAAGAGACTTACAATTGATATATATGTCAGAGGCACTCCTCTGGAGCAACTAGGGGTTAGGTATCTTGCTCATCACACTGATGGATGTGTCACAGTGGGGAATTGAACCCGGGTCTCTCAAACCAAAGGCATGTGTCTTATCGACTGTACCATCACCCCCCAAGCGGTTTAGTCACCACTCCCCTTTTCTAGAGTCCAAACATTGGTCTTGGCCTCAGGAATAGGGGAGTGGTGAGGTGGAAACACAGGGAAAAGAGTTTGTGCTGCAGGAAGCAGCCTGTTAACCATCACTCCCTCTTCCTGTCATTCCACAGATAACGTCTTGTTAGTCATGTTCCCTCGCAGGAAACAACAATCTGTGGTGGAACACACGCACAACACTTCTACACACACAAAACTGTACTCTCGCACACACAGGCGAATGCAGAGTTGCTCATTTTCCCCACATGTCTCCACAAAGCCAAACCAGTAGAGAGCGACCGTACTGCACGCACAGCCACTGTGTTTGTCAGAGGTGATAAAAACACCTGCAGCCTTGGAGCCGTGCTTCATTCAGGCATGTAAACTGGTCAAGGGTAAAAAAGGTGAGAAGGATACGCAAGCAGAGAAACACACAGAGACTGAACAAGGGCTCTGTTTTTACTTTTGAGTAGGGCTGTACATATCTTATTTTTGAAGTCCATTACTCGATTAATCTAACGACTAATTTTGTTTATTCTAAAGAAAGAAAAGTTGCCTATTACTCTATTAACATACCAATTTATCCAAAATAAATATCAAAAACATGCCTAATCAATAAATCTATATTTTATTCCATCATCCTGATGAAGCACATTAGAATAATGACAATAACAGCAAATCTTAAAATGAATCAAATTTCCACGTCACTGATGTTGTGATAATAACAGACATTAATTAGGCTACTTTACTTAAAACTTTAAATGTTTCTGCCATGGATTCATTTCAATATTGAGTAATGCAGAATGATAATAAAATGCATCTCTGCATCAGTGAACACCTGAAAGGACTCAGACTGTCACAGAATTCTGATTCAGCTGTTTTCTCGCACATACCTGACCGTTAAATAAACAGAAATATGAAGCAGCTGATAGTTTGCGGTGTAACGTTACATTACCATGACAGCAGCGGGGCAGAATTACTTTTAACATGAAGGCAATGAAGAAACACTACGTGTCCTCGTGCTGATAATGTGCCGTGCTTGTGTGGCGACAGAAAGTAAACAGGATTTGCGGTGCTGCTGTGGCTAAAATCATTCTTCTTACCTACAAAGCTCTTAATGGTCAGGCACCATCTTATCTTAAAGAGCTCATAGTACCTTACTACCCCACCAGAGCACTGCGCTCCCAGAATGCAGGGTTACTTGTGGTTCCTAGAGTCTCCAAAAGTAGACTGGGAGCCAGAGCGTTCAGCTATCAAGCTCCTCTCCTGTGGAACCAGGTTCCAGTTTGGGTTCAGGAGGCAGACACCATCTCCACATTTAAGAGTAGGCTTAAGACTTTCCTCTTTGATAAAGCTTATAGTTAGGGCTGGCTCAGGTGAGTCCTGAACCATCCCTTAGTTATGCTGCTATAGGCCTAGACTGCCGGGGATTTCCCATGATGCACTGGGCTCCTCTCTCCTCTACTTTCTCTCCCTCTGTATGCAACCTCATCCCATTATTGCATGTTACTAACACAACAACTCCCCTTTCCGGTAGTCTTGTGCTTTCTCGTCCCTCTCCTCTCTCCTCCTATCACTTC